CCTCAAAACTAAAAAAAAATAATAATTCTTTGTATTTCTATTGTTAAAAATTCTTTTTTTTTTCCTCCACCCTACCACCCCTTCCTGATGGCAAAACATTTCAAACCAGTTAAAGTTTATTTATTTTAAATGTTTGGTAAACAATTAAAGAAAATTAGCTAATAAATGTGACTAGCAAAGTGCTGGATGTCTTTATATACATTAACATAATTTATTACCCTCCCGTACCACATTAATACTGATAATTACAATTAACATAAATTGGGTTTGATAATGTATATTTCTGAGTGCTTTATATAAATGATCTCATTTACTTCTCATTATCCAATTAATTCTGTGAATTAAACTTCATATGAAGATAAATTTATATAAATTGATTATGATTTGCTTCCTAAGTTTTTCTTTGATAAAGATTTCTTGTACTGGATAAAAATAAATAAATTTTTCCAAAGATTCTTAAAATGAACTTGAAATTTTTGTCATCTTATAATACAGATCTGACAGGTGCTCAAGATGGGAGTGTCAGAATGTTTGAATGGGGCCATTCTCAACAAATAACCTGTTTTCGATCTGGCGGCAATTCAAGAGTTACAAGAATGAGATTTAACTATCAGGGAAATAAGGTAGTGTGTAAAATGGAAATGGGAAAAGAGGCTTGATTGTGTTGGGGGTTTATAAATATCACTAGTTTGAGTTTCTGAAGAGAATAACTCAGTAAATCAATAATAATGCTTTAATCTTATATGAATTCTTTGTTTTTTAAATTCTAGCCAAAAGTACATTTAAATGTATTTGGTTCTTCCTGGATATATGCTGTAAATATGTCGACTAAAATTAAAAGTTGCCTTAGGACCAATGATTATAGGCCTATCGTATATTACACATTTTTTATTTATTAAATGTTGATTTCTTTATCCCTGGTAATCTACTTCAACTATGATCCAGCACCAAACAGCAAGTTGCATTTGGGAACTTGGTAGAAGTACATTTTACAGGCTTCTCTTCAAACTTACTGAATCACCATCTGCATTTTAAATAGATACTTTTGTGATTTGTATACTTATTTAAGTTTTGAAAAACACTGCTCTAGAACCAAGATATTAGCAAACTGTGATCTAGCCATCTATTTAGTAAATAATCTTATCACAGTTAATCCAACTATTGTTTGTTTTCTTTGGCTATTTTCCACTGTAACAGCGGAGTTCAGGAGGACAAAGACCTTATAGTGGGCAAGCTAAAATATTTATTATGTAACCTTTAAAGAAAAAGTTTGCTGAACCTGCCTCCTCTAGAACATCCCTTACCTTCATTTCCCCCTTTCTCTGCTTTCTTCAAATTGCCTCTCTGCTCCTCATATCTCAGTTGCACTTTAAATAATCATTATAAAGCAAATCAGCCTCTTCTTTGTCTTCAAGTCCGTAATCCACTAAAAATTACTCATGTAGACCCTAGCTGATGGTATATCTACTTTTCTTTCCCCTAAGTCTCTCAGTCTTTAACCTTCCTCACATGTTGCTTGTATAATTATGTGCTACAACCTTTTGTTTACTCTTTGTCACATAGTTTTATTTCCATTTTACAAAAGTCAGTATTGTTTAATTTAGTTGTGAAATCATATTTGGAGAGCTTATTTCTTAATGCCAATTAGCAACATTTTTTGTTCCCTAGTGGGAAATTAAAAATCTATTGTAGAAACCAGTATAATTTGTATCAGTTAAGCATTGCTAATCTGAAATCTGAAATGTTCCTAAATCTCAAACGTAATTAGCAACAAATGAGCATTCCTAATCTGAAAATCTAAAAATGTGAAATGCTCTGAAAGTACTTTTGAGCACTTTAGGTTGCTGGTAAAGTTTTGGACTTAGGAGCATTTTGGATGTCAGATTTTCAGATTAAGGATACTCAACTAGCATAATCTATGCAAATATTCCAAAATCTGAAATACTTCTGGTCCAAAGCATTTTTGATAAGGCATACTCAACCTGTATTCTCGTTTGTGTTCCTTATCATTATCCTGTATATATTCATAATTTTCCAATTTGTTGTCAATACTGCATTATTCCTAATAGTCTCTATAAATAGATCATCTTGTCAACAAAATTGCATAACACGCAGCATAGTTACCTAACTGCAATATAGGTAAGATCATATTATTTTTTTTTTAAGAATCCTTCAAGACAACTTCATGTCAAAATTTTTAGCATGATATTTAAGACCTTCTAAAATCTTATTTTTCAGCTTTAATTCTCAGTACAGTCTTCCACATGAGCTATTTTAAGGCTTGACAGGCAGAGAACTTACTGTACATTTACCTCCATCATGAATCCCAAATACCTAAGCATCCTCTCCATTTGATTGTCGTCTACCGATAGAAATAGACAGCAAAACTTCAACAAGGACAGTAGAACAGGGAAGAATTCTTGGAAAATTAAAAACATGATTCCAAAAAATTGTGTTCAGTCATTGAACTGAATCTAAAGTATTATGTGTAAGAATGTTTAAAGCAGCACTTTTTTTCTTTTTTTAAATTTATTCTCTTTAGATACATAACACTAGAGTGTATTTTGATATGTACATACATGGAGTATAACTTCCCAATCTTATGGTTGTACATGATGTTGAGTTACCCTGGTGGTGTGTTCACATATGAACATAGGAAAATTATGTCCAATTCATTCTATTGTCTTTCCTGTTCCCCTCCCCCATACCTTTCCTTCATTCCACTTTGTCTAATCCATTGTACACCATCCCATTTATTGTGGGGCATCTGCATATCAGAGAAAATAATCGGCCTTTGTTTTGGGGGGATTGGCTTATTTCACCTAGCATGATAGTCTCCAGTTCCATCCATTTACCAGCAAATGCCATAATTTCATTTTTCTTTATGGCTGAGTAATATTCCTCTGTGTGTGTGTGTGTGGGGGGGTACCACATTTTCTTTATCCGTTGCATCTTTGAAGGTCATCTAGGTTGGTTTCATAGCGTGGCCATTGTGAACTGAGATGCTATAAACAGTGATGTGGCTAAAGCACTACTTTTTGTAATGGGATAAATTGAAAACTGTTTATAAGAGAAAAAAGCAACACAGTTCATTGGAAGAACTGAATAGCACAACAGAAATAGTTAAAAATCATGTTTATGGGTCTGGGGTTGTAGCTCAGTAATAGAGCATCTGCCTAGCATGTGTGAGGCACTGAATTTGATCCTCAGCACCACATAAAAATAAATAAATAAAATAAAGGTATTGTGCCAATCTACAATTAAATATATTTTTTTAAAAAAATTATGTTTATGGGGCTGGGGTTGTGGCTTAGCGGTAGAGCACTTGCTTCGCACATGCAAGTCACTGGGTTCGATCCTCGCCACCACATAAAAATAAATAAGTGAAATAAAGGTATTGTGTCCAACTATAACTAAAAAATAAATATTTTTTAAAAATCATGTTTATGATTGGGAAGCACAAATTAATAAATTATCCTATGATAAAAATGTCTCAGGAAATATTCTAGAAGAAGAAGAAAAAAACAAAATAATGAAGGAAAAGCAATATTCAAAGAAATAAAGAATAATTCCCCAAAGCAAAGAACAGAACGTTGTAGGAGAAAGAGCCTGATAAGTACTATGTGGGGGGGAAGTATTGAAAAACAACATATATTCACATACATCTGGTTGTTTTGTTATTGGATTTTTAAATTGAAGGATGAAGAAAAATACTATAAGCTCCTATGACAGAGTAGTGGTATGCATAGTTATTTACAACCTCCACCTTTCAAACTAATGTCATCAATTCACTCAAAGATTAATTTGACCATAGAGCATTATCCACAGAATTCTCTGATAAACAAGAATGGGACCTGAATTGAAGTCCATCCAAATTATCAAAGTTGATGACTAATAATACATGTGTCCTCTCTCTAAAGAACATACTTTATTTATTCAGAAAATAGAAAAAAATAAGAAATATAAATCCTGGAAAAATACTTGTAAAATACCTGTAGAAACTATGGGTTAATATTCCTAATTTTAGCCCTATTAATTTTTTAATGGACCAATAATTTAGTAGAGATATAGACTAACAATAGTAATAATTTATGAAAAGTCTGTGCATAGTCAGTAACCTTCACTAATAATTGAACTCAAAATTAAAGTTTTTTTGTACAAAATTGACAAATATTTCAAATTTTAATACTATTTAGTGTTACCTAAGAAAAAAAATTGGTGTGAATTCATATTTCCACTTAGGATTTAATTTTGCCTTCATCTCTCAATTTTAAATGACAATTTTTGACCAAGCCTTCCCAATTCTGAATATCTATCACATAGTTATGAAAAGGCATATCTGATTGATTGTATATTATCTTCTGAAAAGTGTTCAGTTCCTTGGCCCATTTGTTGATTGGCTTATTTGTTTTTTTGGTGTTAAGTTTTTTGTATTTCCTAGATGATGGGCATGTGGTAAAAAATTTGCTCCCCTTCTGTAGGCTCTCTATTCACCTCGCTGATTGGTTGTTTTTCTGAGAAGAAGCTTTTCAGTTTGAATCCATCCCATTTGTTGATTTTTAAATTTATTTCTTGTACTATAGGAGTCTTATTAAGGAAGTCGGGCCTAATCTGACATGGTAAAGATTTGGGCCTACTTTTTCTTCAGTTAGGTGCAGGGACTCTGGTTCAATTCCTAGGTCCTTGATCACTTTGAGTTGAGTTTGTGCATGGTGAGAGATAGGGGCTTAGTTCCATTTAGCTGCATATCGCTTTCCAGTTTTCTCAGCACCATTTGTTGAAGAGGCTGTCTTTTCTCCAATATATGTTTTATAAACTATAAGGGGAAAACACAGAGCTAGATTTGTCTTGACATAGAAATATAATAAATGAAAATGGAACTGTGGAACTATATATTACAATCCCATTTGTTATTTTAAAATGCTGTATGTAAATGTTTAAATATTCATAGAAAGAAATCTTAAACAACATCAAATGGTCGTAGTAGGTATTAGATCTGGAAGGAGGAGAGGACAAGTGTCCAAAATAAACATGTGTTTTACTTATATACTTTACATAAGCATACACAATTTTTACAATTTAAATAAAAAATATTTTAGCTGTCTTACTCATCCTGGAAGATCTTTACATACTCCTTTATTGAATTATGTTAATGTCTTCCTAATTATAATTACTCCTAAGCTCCCGTAGTAGAATTCTTTTAATGTGACAATCCTTATTTCACTTTCTACTCTTAACATGTTTTCCTTGTTTTATTTTTCTGAAAGTTCTTATTTTGTCCTTTTCAGAAATGTTTTCTGTCTTACATATGACTTAAAACTTGGTCATATGTAAGTTTAGTAGTAATGTACTTTTTTGGAGTATTTATAGAGAATATATAGGTGATGCTTTAGATTACTATAATTAAAGGGGTATCTGGTGTTTGTTTCCTTTTTGTCTACCCTGGCATATTGTTTAAGCAGAAGCTAAATGTTATTTTTGAGCTAGACTCATGCATAGGTGAAGTAAAATTTTGAACAATATTTCAGTTTAATATTTAAGCAAAAGTATGACTGTCACAGTGAAGATAAGTTTAAATATGTGCTTTTGTATTAAACATTTAAAAATTTTTAAATATTTTTTCTCCAAGTTTGGAATAGTTGATGCTGATGGATATTTAAGTTTGTATCAAACAAACTGGAAATGTTGTCCAGTTACTGGGAGCATGCCTAAGCCATACCTGGTAAGCCAAGATTTCCTACCTATATAATAAATTTGAATTTTTATTTTAAAGAAACCAAGAATGTATTTGAGACAAGATATATTCAAGTAAAATCTGTGCAGTGTTATGTACTCCCAGTCACTTTATATAGGCTCCTGTCCTTGTATTATGTTTAAATTGTTCTGTGAAACATAAAAATCCTTCATCTCTGATAATTTGGAAAGTTAATATGTACAGAACTAACATGGTACCTCCAGAGACCCATGCAATGTATATATTACCTACATGGAATGATTGTCATATCAGTGCATCTGATTTTTCCCTGCAGTCCTGCTTCTCCACAAAGTACAAAGATTATATTATAACTTGTTTTTCTATCTCCCCTTCTTTTTTTTTTTTCGTGTGTGTGTGTGTGTGTGTGCACGCGCGCTGCGGAATAAACACAGGCCTCATACATGCTAGACTAGTGCTCTGCCACTGAGCTAAACCCATGGCCCATTTGTCTGTCTCTTTTTAAATGAAATATTGAGGTATCTCTATTCAGTGCTATGTAGACTTAACCTTCTGTGGCTTCAAAGAACACTGTATTAATATTTAATACATTCTTCAGTAAAGCCCTTTACAGAAGTAAACAATACGTATCTGGAAGAAGTTAAGAATATAGCTAGGATTCCAGTAATTCATTCAAGGTTAAGTGCTAGAATACAATATTAAGTGAAAGTATGCAAGTGACAATTGGTTAGGATACATTAAAAGAACTTTAGTTTTGTTTGTTTTTTTTCTTTATGTTTTTACTAAGCCAACAGATTTAAATTTTGGTCCTCAAAGAGTCTGCCTTTCCTTTTTTAATTGATTAAACTTTTATAATTTATCAAGTTATTAGTTGATGGAATATTGAGAACTACTGTAAATTTTCTAGTTTTGGTGATTTAGTAATTTTTATTCATAGATTTGAACAATTTCTTATAAGTTTAAATGTTTCTGAAAAATATGTGATGTCAGGTTAACAAAGGTTAATTCAAAGCTAATCTAAAATCCTGCTTTCTATCTTCCTAAGACAGAAAAATTCACTAAATATACCAGAGGAAATATTTAAAGTTTAACATCCTTATGTTTACCTTTGAAGTTTTGGTCAAACAAAAGTGAAGGGCTTGGGCTTTCAGTGTAGCTCAGTGCTAGAGTGTTTGCCTAACATGCATGATGTACTGGGTTCAATCGTTAGCACCACAGGAAAAGTAAAAAAGTGAAGGGCTTCATAAAGTATCATGACATACAGTCTAGTTAAATGGTGCAGGAAAAGTGTGCATGTGTCTGTGTGTATCTGCATCTGTGAAAGAGTAGAAGGTCTAGAGGGTGTAGCTCAGTAGTGGAACACTTACTTGCCCTGCACAAAACCCTGGGTTTGATCTCCAGCACCAAAAAGAGAGAGAGAGAGATAGATAAGAAACAAATGTGATAAAATGTTTAAAAATGCTGAATCTGAGAGAAGGATATGTGAAAGTTCTCTGGGCTACTTTTACAACTTTTCTAAAGTTCAGAGGATAAAAAGAAAAGGTTTAAGAAAGTCATAAACTGTATGATCACTTTTTGAATAATACATCTACCTGGTTATGAAATTTTTAGTGACAACAGTAACATTTATTGTTTATAACCATTCCAGACTTGGCAGTGTCATAACAAACCAGCCAATGATTTTGTCTTCGTTAGTTCCTCTTCTCTGATAGCCACAGCTGGTCTTTCAACTGATAATCGGTAAGAGATGATAGCTGAAACTGAATCCTATATGTATAGCTGATTTTTTTTATTGCTCTATGTCCTTGTTCCTCAAGAATAATTATGCCTTTAGATATTTTTTTATTAAAAAGACAATTACTTAGAACATTTTTAATGTCCTACTTGTAAAGTTAGGGAGAAAATAATTTGGTTATTAGTAGGATGTACTTTGTATTATTTTCTATGTATTTAAAAAGCTTGAGACAAAAATAGACTCATTATTTATTGGTCATGTCATTTAGTTAACTTAGTTAATCCACCATGGTCCTATTTGGTAGATAGATATGACTTTCACAACAAGAAAATAGGACTCAAAAAGACTCAGTTTTCTAATATCTAATCCATAGCAGCCCACTTCCCTTCACCCTGCCTCTGCAAAAAGCTAAATTCTGTCCTTTTCATCTAGAACAACTGAATTCTGAGGTCAAGGCACACTGAGGTTACTGAGCTTTTTATATTTATCTGAAAGGCCTCAGTTTTCACTAGAAACTAGTTTTTAGGACTGTAGAGTCTTCAGCCTATCTTCCATAGAAATTCCTTACATATATTGATGCCTCTTTATATCAGAAATTTTTCTTTGTGTTCAAGAAAGTTCAGTGTCTTTTTGCCATTTGTTTATGTCATTTCACCTGATAATCAAAGTAGTTTCTATATTCACCCTTTATTTGATATTAATGTAACTACCTGTTAAGCTGAAGTTACGCAGTTTTATAAAATAATAGTTTTTAGTTTTTTTGTAAAACGATTATGTAAGCTTGTTGGTTTGTGTTTGATACTTTTATAAATTTAAGAACATTCTTTGAGAGAGTCGTGTTATTTCATTTACATAAGACATACTTATTTTTTATTCTGTTAACTTTCTGTCACTCAAAAAGTAATCTTTTTTTTCCAGAAACATATGTTTGTGGGATACTCTCGTAGCACCTGCCAATAGTTTAGTCCATGGTAAGTTTTTTAGTTGTGGGGGGTTTTGTTTTGTTTTGTTTTGTTGTTGTTTGTTTGTTTGTTTTGTGATGCTGGGTATTGAACCCAAGGCCTTTTGCATGCAAGGCAAATACTCTACCAACTGAGCTAGATCATGTGTTTTACAACTTTTAAGGTTTATTTTGCTCATGATATCAGGGTTTGAAAACAAAAAGATATACATAATTAACTCTACCTGATACCTTGATGCAGAACAGTAGGATACAGAAAATATAAAAAGCATTTGTCCTTATTTTGAATCTGATAGCCATAGGTCATTATAATGAACATCAATTATACCTAGTATTATGTCCCCTCTCACCACTCCTATTCAGCATTGTACAGGAAGTCTGAACAGTAACACAAGAAAAAAATAAAAGGTATATAGATGTCATGATTCTGTAGAAAATCTCAGTCTGTAAAAGAAACTTCTAGAACTAATGTGGGAATGTAGCAAGAATACAAGGTCAATATACTAAAGTTAGTTGCTGTAAAAATAGTTCCTTAGGGCTGGGGTTGTAGCTTGGTAGCAAAACACTTACCTAGCATGTGTGAGGTCCTGTGTTCAGTTCTCAGCACAGTATATAAAATAAATGTCCATACTGCTTTCCAAATTGGCCGCACCAATTTGCAGTCCCACCAGCAATGTACAAGTGTACCCTTTTCCCCACATCCTCGCCAGCACTTGTTGTTGTTTGACTTCATAATGGCTGCCAATCTTACTGGAGTGAGATGGT